CTGCTTGCTCTTTATTTGACAAGTATGCTCAAAATATAAGAAGAAAAAATTATGACTTTTCTCACACCTTTTTCACAACAGGGGGAGCTCTCTAACATAAAAAGAAAGTATAACGTTAAAACACTGTTTGCTCCTCAAACATGTCTAATTATCTGAACAGCAGATCTTTCTGACAGTAGATGCTGAATAAGAATCCCCATTCACATCCTTTGCTTCAGCCGTTTTATACCAGATTTAACCAAGCTCCATGCTCCAAACAGGAAACTGACAACTGCCTCTCTCAGGGTCCSACTGAAAGCCCTAATGAGATCTCAAAGTCTGGAAACATTTTCTCCTGCAACCTAAACTCCAAACAGGACTGAACTCCGTAGGACTTGATGCGTCACCTTATCCCCCTACTTTGTGTCCCATTACCTAGCAGTTGTAATGCTCACACCAGTGTAACGTGTCCCAGGTTGCAGATAGGGCAAGCTGAGCTGGGCCTGAAATTTAAATTAACCCGAGCGACATTCATGAGTGCTGGAGAACACAGGTGTCAGATTACCGGCACCCTCATTCCTGCCATGCAAACACACCTGTCGTACACAGAGGGGAACAAAGGAACGAACACACTCGAATCAGCTGCAAGAAATACAGGCACGCATATGTCCGCTAATAGTTTGGGGTTTGTCTCGTCTTGTGGCGAGGGCGCTTTGACAGTGGCTGGTTTCAAAGCCACCATGATAGTCTGATATCACAGGAAGGCTGGAGGASGCAGCTCTGTGTGTGTTTGTGTGAGGCAGGAAATGTCAGAGTGAGAGGCTTACCATCTATTTTTCAGTACTCTCGAGCCTCCTGCTCATCACGGGTGACTGTGCCTTGGCTTCCTTAAGATCATTATCGTCGTTTTCTGCCAAACAAACTCTGGAAACTAGAGCATAGTCGGTCAGGTTCAAAGCTTTAGCCCACACATACATCATTTATGTTTACAATTCTTTAAACATTTGACCAATTCTTAACATATCCAGCATTTTAAAAACTAAACCTTTACATTAAATCTTAAATATGTTTAAATAAACTTGTGTTTTATAATGACTATGTCAAAAGCCGGCCCTGAATGTTACTAAGCACACGTCTCCATGAGGAAAAACTAAATAACTGCTACCAAAGACAAGATGCATTTGTGAAGTAAGTGTTTGTCAGATTTACTGATACACAAATTCATTTGTTTTAGTTGACATTTTTTAAAATTTGGATCTTTTTTCACATTATTTGTACTTTGTGACATCGTCATTATGCATAATTAAAATCAGTCATCCAAGTATCTAATGTATCTGTTAATAAGTGGTTAAACAAGTCAGTAAATGTTTTAGTGCAGGGTTATTCAACTGGCAGCCCATGGGCCAGATATGACACGCAGGTGACTTCAGTCCGGCCCGCCGATTACTTCATTTTTAAAAAAAACTTTTTTTAATATTTAAATGCCATTGATATGGTTACCAATTTCTTCATTTAAAATAACGTTTAATTTTAAATCAGAAAAAATGTTAAAGTAGACTGTATTTATTTAATTGCTGGATGTCTGTCCCCTGAGCTGGTGGTTTTCAGTAACTGTGGGCCCCTGAACAACTCAGTTGAAAAGCTTTGTTTTGTTTTGTGCACCACATGTTCTATGAATCAACTTAAGTTGTTAGTTTCATTTAGTTTTGCAATAAATCAAGAGATTAATTAATTTTTATAAGGACATATTTTTAGGGGATAAAACTTCATCCTGGTAAAATAAAAAAAGAAAATAGAAGAAAAAAGTGTACATTTCTTAAAGGTTGATTTCATGAAAATTGTGMATTTGATACGTTTCCTTAAATCTAACCAACAAGCAATTAAACAAATACTTATACTAACAATAATAATAATAATAACAATAATGATGATAAATGTTACAGTAAACCAACAGAAAACTTAAACATCTCACTTGTCAAGTATAAGATGTTCCATAAAATGGGTTTCAAGCTGTATATTTTTTAATGTCCTTGTAAAAAAAAGTTAAAGTTGCCGCCAATTTATTGCTCATTATGAGTCCTCTCTCCAGCTGAAGGGCATTTGGAAAAGTTCTTTACCCAACAAATGGAGAAGGAGGGCACTGATCTCTTGTGGCGTTCTCCCTTCATTTCACCCCAAGAAGTGGGTCACACAATGTGATGGGTGCAGCCCCGAACTTTCTGCACAAGTGTCTTTTATGGGCATCATGAATAACTTAATGGTCTCGCTATGCTCTGAAGGCATTACTGTGTCAGACACAAGGAAAACCCTTGTTGACAAACTCTTTCCCAGATCTCAGACACATCTCAGACATCCAATTTCATCATTCAGCACTGCATTTGGGCTTTTTGGGTGGGAAAAAAAAATCTAATGCAGGAGTACATCTTGGAGATCAGTCTGTAATGGATTTAATTATGCCTCCACTCAAACGCATTTCCCTTTTTGTAGTCTTGGTTTATATTGATGATTTCATCAGTATAGATGCTTTAAGTGCATTTGTGCATCATGCTCTTTGCCATATGCTCTGGTGAAATGGGAGGTTCAGTGCCTGGCTGCTCTTTAAATGGACTGGCAGGTCACGACCTCTTAAATGTTATCTATAAAACTCATGGGAGGGTCTGCATAATGGATAATTCACTGAGACACTGTGGGTGCATATTAAAGACAGGAGATGGAAGGAAAAACAGCACGGTCATAAAGATTCAGTCCAGATCAGGGTGGATCCAAACTTTTTGGCTTTGTCATCTACAAATTAACAAAGATTTATGACCCCAAAGTACCGATAAGTCAATCAAATGAGGGAATAATGAAAACACAAATAACCCCAACAAGCAAAATGCAACTATTATCCAAATATGGCTTATAACAATTAGTGCTGAATGTTTTTAAAAAGTTGTTTTTACCTTTAATTTAAATTCTGCATGCAGAACCTTCTCTTGGTGTTTTAGTTCTTAGAACCACACAAATCTGAATAATACCTGTACATACAGTATTTCACGTGGCAGTGTTGATCATAGTAACTTTTCCTATCTAATTATAAGAAAAACAGTTGTCYTTCAAGAAATGAAAATCTTTTTCTACTCTTTTGTACTCTTGTGTTGAAATTTTAAACTCTTTGCCTCTCAAACCAACCTCTGTTTGACATTTTGATAATGATGTGTGTCTTGTGACCTGCYTGCATGAAGTAAGAATTAAATGTCAAGCTCACGGTAAAAAGCTTGTTACACTTTATCTAAACTAGTTCTTTCTCATAAGTGATTCTTTTTGCCATGGACAGATTTCATTGGCAGTATTAAAACATTGACATTTTTATACAGTGTAATACAATACAAACCAATAGATTTTACTGTTTCCTTGGGGGAATTTGTTAGTTTTTTGCAATTACAAGCAGAAACATTTATGAATGATTGTGTTTTATGCTGCAAATTATTTTTACAGTTAACACATGAACTAAAATTTTCATCATATATTCTCAAAATAAACTTTACCGTGTTCCATTTCCCTCAGAGGTCACACCTCAGGTCTTGGACTAACGTCAAACTTAAATTTGTTCCTCTTGCAAGTTTGGAAAGCTAGCACGACTGACGAATCGTTGTGCCCAGTGACCATCAGGGGKGATTGGATTTAACCTTTGCGGGGGCTTTAAATCTCATTGCCAATTGACATGCCGTACATTCACGTGCAAAATTAGATTGTTTTGTCTAGTTAAAACAGTTAACAACTGTATWTACTGAATTTGAAATAGAATCTCAGAAGCCTATCATACCTGCCAATTTATATGCTTATAACAATGAGAGAGCAGGCAGCAGAGGCAGCAGTGGAGTGAAGCAGTCCTAGGGGGGTCCGGCCATATAGAAAATTATTTCTCAAATCTACTCTAAACTATGCATTTACCAGTCACTTGAAGAGAATTTTACAAAATTCATAGGGATCATAAAACAACCTAAAATCAATGTTAGGATGGTAGAACACTGAAAACTAGTCTTTAAACTGGCTCTCATCCGCCAGGCAGGACTCAGCCAACAGGACCAATGGGAGCTTCAAATGACTTATTTTGGTCAATTACACATCTACTCATGCTTGGCTGACAAGGATCAACAGGAGGTTGCAAGGTCCTAAAACCTGATAGGACCTAACAAAATCTGCTCTCTACCTTCTGCTACAGATTTATGATCATATTTGAGTTATTAATGACTATTTACTATTACATACTATAACTATTTAAACTCATATTCTTCTATTGAATATGTAGGCACTTTTTAAAACACCAAAATATTTAAGGGGATTTGAGAATATTTTAAATAGGCTTAGTGACGCCACTGGTGACCATTAGCAATACAAACCATAATAACAATAATAATGGATTTATCTAAATAACAATATGTTCACTATTAGAGGTCAGACAATACAAGTGTGATTGACAGAGRTAAAAATTAAAAAAACTTATTCATGCAATAATGTTTTATCGACTCAGAGCTGATCAAGGATCTCTGGAGTTGAAAATTTGACTCTGCAGAAGCAGTTAAATTAATTTTAATGACTAAGCGCGCCAAAATTTTTGACCTCCGATTAGAATGCACCTATACAATAAAACCCAGGTGTCCTGTCAGTGAATGCAGAGGAATGTGTGTTTGCTGAAGAATGAGATTAAAAATAAGCATTGCTGTGTGCATATCTTTAACATTTTATGTGAAACAGGTCAACATTTTCAACATGAAAAACTCCAAAACAACATGAAAAATGAAAAAGGTCATTTTACTTGTATTGTATTTGTGTATTCCATAAAACAACCGTACACAGAGCTTGACATAGTGATGTCTTGTTTAGATTGCTGTCAGATGATGTCTCTTGGACTGTCTCTTTGTGGGAGAGGCACATTAAGGCGCATGCATCTCTGGACGAATCCCATTCCCATATTTGGAGTTCACAAAAAAAAAAATCATGTCACTTTATTCCCTTAGTGCACAGACAAGGCCATCAACTCTGCCAACAAAATGTTTTAAGGGTCCTCTGAAGGATGAATTATTTATCTTTACTATCTTACATCTGCCTGGGTTTCTTTTGCAGACCCATATTGTTTTTTTTTTTTTGCCCAACTTGTCCCATGATGACCCCAAGATCCCATTTTAGTTAGCCTTTGTAGCTCAGCCTTATACCACAGTGCTAATAGTAGAGGATTCCTCTGATTTGCCCTGTCGGCTTGGCAGTGACTTTAGATACTCCAAGTGTCTGCGGGCGTCCTCCTGATTAGCCCGGACATAGTAGACCAGGTAGGAGATAACCATGGTGAACCAGCCGAACATAACAACCAGCATGGCCACGTCTGTAGTCCTCTTCATCACCACACACAAGTCTATGTCTGGTTCCAAAAGGAAGGCACGTCCYACAACTCCTATTTCCTCGGGATAGGAGGTCTGGCACACGATGCCTGCCAGAGACACAGGCTCCAAGTCCACACGAGGCAGAGCCATCTGTAAGTTACAGTCACAGTGCCAYGGATTGTTTGTTAGGTTGGCGCGAGCTCGCAGGCCCTCGAAGGCATCGGGGTTGAAGTTAATTAACTTGTTTGAAGACAGATCCAGGAGCTGTAAGGAGGAGCCCAGGCCTCTGAACGCACCAGGTTCTAACAGGCTCAACTCGTTGTGCGACAGGTCCAGTTCCACCAAGTGGGTTAACGCGGCAAAGGCGTTCGCTGGGATTGTCGTGAAGAGGTTGAAGTCCAGATAGACCCGCCTGGTGTCGTTGGGGATGTCCTCGGGGATCTCCGTGAGCTGCAGGTTGCTGCAGCGCACCGTCTTGCCGCCGGTCTCGCTCTCAGAGCAGTAGCACCTTTTGGAGCAGGTGGTGGCGGCATGATGGAAGCAGAAGGTCATTAAAACCAAGCTGTGGAGCAGCAAGCACATGACCACCGAGTGGCGCAGGAGCCAGTCCGCAAAGAGGGGCATTGTGGTCTATGGGCATGCTCCAAGGAAGACCACTGGGGCTGAGGGACGAGGGACGCATCAACCTCCCCACTTAGTGTCGAACCTGCGACAGAAAACCAAAAGAAAGTTGTGATGGTGAGCTTTAATGTAAAACTGTGCAAAACATGGGAGATTAACAGCATCCATCAAAGGTGGTTCTGTCCTCTAGAAGGGGAGCAGCGGTTTGTCTAATTGCAGCGTGGAGGAAGCAGGAAAGCTGCATGCTTATTTCAGTGTCAGAAAAAGAGCTGCAATTTGTTTTACTTCAAGAAAAAAAAAACACAAAAATAAATAAAAATCACTTCAGCCCAGCACAATAAACAGGGAAAAGAAATACTTTGGTGTCACTGTGCCTCTTATAATTGACATCCCTGCAGTGCGAGGCTATTTCAGTACACAAAGGCTGACATTAATATGTGACACCGTGTGGGGAAAAAAGTGTTATGTGCACAACCTTATTATAAATCCAACCACATTTTCTATAAACACAACATTTTCCACTTCATTTATCATTAAAATATTCTATCTTATCTTTTGATATCAGATGTAAAGGTCAGTCACACAAAGCTTGTCTATCTGTCTTGTAAATTACACTTTATATTTGTCCATCAACTATTGAAAATAGCAGATCCACCCACCCGAACACACTTCGTTAATAGCTGATCAGAGCTGCCACCTATCCTGTTACTAATCCTCCTAAAGGAAAAAAATCTCCCTCGCTGAGCGTAGCATCAGCATTGGCCACCCAATCCCTTTGTTGAGATAAATGCTAACATCGTAAACAGCGGCACGGCCTGCAAACACAACACTGTGATGCCCCGTTGAGACAGAATGGAAACGGGAATTCAACCACACGTCTTGAGTTCTTCTAAACGGCGCGAGGCATGGGCAAGACCCACTCATCAAGATTACAAACACGAAATGGACCTCAAAGTATCGCGTGGCACCAGGGGGGTTGAGAACAGCGTGTGTGGGGGGAGAGGAGAGGTGTTTGTACTTAAAACAGTGAAAACTCACAGAAATGTCAGCTGGAGATCCCCACCAACAATGAACAAGGAGAAGTGAAGTCTGACACAAAGATGAAACATTTGCCACTTATTTCATCTTGCATGATGAAACCAACTGAACGCCCGAGCCAAGGTCTCGCATGGTTAATGTTTCTGCTCCTGCAAGGCCTGCAGTTTTCCCATCACTGCATGCCAGCTTGGTGTTTCACTGAGAGATAATTAGGGAGCAGAAGAAAAAGTGTGGGGGGGTGGGGAGCTGGCGATAAAGGGAAGAGAAAACATGTGGACATGAAGTGAAATTGGACACATGAGCAGAACGAACGATATCAAGGGGATTTAAGGAGAAGGGCTATAAGATTACAGTGACAACACAGAGGACGTTGCATGACACTAATGAGATATCGAGGAAAAGAGCCAATGTTAGTAAGGAGGATGGGTGGAGGGAGAATTGGAAAAAGAAAGAGAAAGTGCAAACCAAATGAGAAGCAGGGTTGGAGTGCCATAAACAGCGAACACAATAAGTCAAAATGAGGCTTTTTCAGTATTCCAAAATTCATCGACCTACTTTTTTTTTCTTTCCTGCCATAAATATTTCCCCCGGTTTTAATTTACCCAACAAATGCAGCACTACTGGAGCCACGGGTYAGAGTATGGCTTCATAAATTCAATGCTGTCGTAAACCACTGGCACCAGTTGTATGAGGAGCTATAATATGGATTAAACATCCGAAGCATTAATGCAGACGAAATTTATGATGCTCATATACTTCTGTGATGCCGGGCCTATTTGTGTGCATCATAAGTCTTTTCTGCTGTCATAAAACCAGCATGACTGGTAAAGAGGTGGGTTCTGTTTTCTTAGTTTATGATAAAAGTGATAAAAAAAGAAACAGAAGCATAATTTCAACTCCAACCACTCATTTTCTTTGTTTTTTTATTCCCTATTTTTAGGTTTTATTTCAGGTTTTATACTGTTTGTAAAAGTAACATGTTTGAAAATGTTAGAATTTTTCTTTATATCAAATGTTTATTTATACCTTTAAAAACATTGTTCTTAATTAATTATTTCAGTCAAACGCCTGAAAATGCATTTTTTAAATTGTTTTCTTGATTGTCTGTATGTTTGTTCATGTTTCAATAAAGTTCATGCAGGGGAATTTTTAACACCATTTACTCATGAATTTAAGACAATTTTGATGAGTTTTTGGCACTTTTTGTTTCTGGGAGCAGATTTGCTTCTGTTGCACCACAAGTTTGGTCTTTTGGTTTAAGTTTTGCAATAATGCACAAAAAATTTCATCTATTTATAATGACATGGGGGCCAAATATATAAAAAGATGCACTAATAATAGAAGCAATATTATCCCAGGTATAATTTGGACTTTCTGCCTTAAATAAAACTTTGCATAAATCACAACACCGCCTTGTAAAACACTAAATTCAAGCCAGTTCTGAAATTTACTCAATCAAAAGACAAAATTGATATATTTTCCGTGCTGTTTTAGTGATYGAGTTATAAAATTCCAACAGTGAAACTGAAAACAGCATGTACTAAAACGCACAGAAACGCCCATAAATTCCCACATTCTGCGCACTGAGCCGAATTACGCACACTCACGTCTTTAACGCGACTTCTCCTCTCCCCTCCATCTTCACCGCGTTGTGTTTTTTTTTTTAAAGAAAGTGCTCCAAAAAGAACTCCGTCCTGCAGACTGATGCGCTTCCCCTCCTCCTCYTCCTCCTCCAGTATAGCTCAGCCTGGTCCGCTTTCAAACAGATCCTTCCTCCCCATCCGCCGCCGCTCAGGAACCGCGACGCGCCTCTGGAAAGGATCCCGCACTTCAGGGCAGCCTTTGTAGTTTCCACGCAACCAGAGGGGGGGAGAATGAAAGAAGAAGAGGAAGCAGCTTTGTCAGACTGTCGAGCACTGCCAGGTCACAGTGTCATAGATTCTGATGGAGAGGAAAAAAAGGAAAAAATTATATATATGAGCAATAATAAGGTACAGACGGGGCACAGAGGGCCAAAGGTGCGCAGACAAAAATGCTGAAAGGCGCTGAGTGCAGAGAACAAGCTCCCACAAACAGCCTCTGTTTAATTGTCCGACTCAATGCTCTCATTCACACGCGCCTGTTGATTGCTGTGAGAGCACGGAGCTGGATGTGCATCATGTATCAGGTGCCTGTAAATGAGCACTCCTCCCACACGCGCTCACACAAACAGAGGATTCATCTCATGCTCACACATGGAGCAGTCAGCCTGGCAGCCTATAATCATGTTGGATCTGAGAGCTTGTTGTTTCAAACATGCAGCCCCGGGGGCTGCCAGAGCTGAGAATCTTTGGCTTGGCTCTCTTTTCCCTGCCTGTTGCCAACCGATAAGGAAGTCCAATCAAATCCACAATGACATAAAAAAAAAAAACAGGAACAGCAGCTCAGCCAAGCAGCTGGAAGCCAGGTAATAATGCAATTAAAATCAATAAAGAGGATACTCCACCCAKTCTCCCCCTCCACCTCTTTCTCTCCTTTTCTGTTGTTTTCTTTCCTTTCTCACAAAAAAGGCAAATAAAAATATAAAGCACRAATGAAACTTGCACCATATTTAAAAAAATATTCAGTTTTTCTAACTGAGACTACAATGAAATTTACATTCGCACTTCAGGAGAACACGTATGGAACTACCCCCCCGGTACTGTCTTTGCAGCAGATTGTGTGAGATAGTGAGATATTTCACTTCTGTTCTCACCTGGATCCGTCCCGTTGCCAGAAGGTCGTGCAGCAAAGCCCATGAAAAGTACCAGCTTCTTCCCAGAAGCAGGAAAACTCCTGAACTGTGTCTCCGTGAGCACTCAGAAATCAGAATTTCTTGGTTTCAAGTTGAAAAAAATCAATTGGATCTGAGAGCCAGAGATTCCTGACCGTCTCCAAACCTCAAAATCCATGGCCGACAAAAAAATCTGTGATGGCTTCAGTCGTAAACCTTTTACTTCAACATTGGTCACTTTGGATCTCCGTAATCCAGCCACACAYACTTACCAATAACTACATTTACAAAAGCACAAAAAGTGGGGAAATTTGTGTTTGGTAGATTATTTCTTTATTGTAACAATGCTTCGAGGCAATAAATCTTATARCATTGGAAAATCTGTTAATTTGWAAGGAACATAGGTCCACACAATTTGTGGGATGAGCAGAAGAGTTGAGTGAGTTGCAAACATGAAAAAACATTGTCGAATCTTCCCTGCAGGTCAAACAGCTTACAAACTCTTGTACTAATTAACGGAGCRGCTGTGGTGGAGTGGTTAGGGAAGTCGTCCTGCAGAASGGGGTTCAATTCCCCCCATTCCAGCTGTCTCAGTCGTTGTGTCCTTGGGCAAGGCACTTCACCCTTGCCTGCTGATGGTGGTCAGAGGGTGGCGCTGGTTCATGGCAGCCCCTGCTTTTTGTCAATGTGCCCCCAGGCCAGCGGTGGCTGGAGCTTACCACCATCAGTGTGTGAATGTGTGTGTGCATGGGTGAATGGGTGAAGYGTAAAGATGATGGTAAAATCAGATCTGAGCTCCAACTAAGTCTCCCTCTAGTTTAAACTTTGTGTCACTAATTCTTTATTTGATTAATTTTATAAAGATATTATGTTTCACAACAGTAGTGCCAAATCACGGTGCTCATGGCCCACGATCCTGCACGTTTTTTTCCCCTGCTTTTCATGTTTTCAAGTTTTGCATTCAAGCAGGTGTGCTAAAGCAGAGAAACAGTTCAAATTTAAATGTTTCTATCAACAAAAACATTGTAACTAAGTTTTGTTCAGTCAAACAAGAGACCAAAGACAAAAAACAATAATAACTCCTGGGGCAAGGAGAAGCATYTAATACAGGGTTATCCAACTGGTGGGCCRCAGGCCAYATCTGGCCTGTGGRTKACTTTTGTCTGGTCTGCCAATGAGGCCCCAAGGCCCCAAAAGAAACGAAAAAATATGTATAAAATATATTGCCAAAAGTATTTGCTCATCCATGCAAATGACTGCACCAGTGCAYAAAGYAAGGTCYACAAAGACRTGGATGGCAGAGACTGGTGTGGATGAACTTGACTKACCTGCACAGAGTCCTGACCCCAACCYGATAGAACACCTTTGGGATRAATTAGYGTGGAAACTGAGAGCCAGACCTTCTGTCCAACATCAGTATGTGACCTCACAAWTGTGCTTCTGGAAGAATGGTCAAAAATCCCCCTAAACACTCCTAAACCTTGTGGACAGCCTTCAGAAGAGTTGAAGCTGTTCTAGCTGCAAAGGATGGACCAACATCATACTGAACCCTACAGATTAGGAATGGGATGTTACTGAAGCTCATATGTGAGTCAAGACAGGTGAGCAAATACTTTAGGTAACATAGTGTATAATAGGAAATGATGAGTAAGTGATTAGCATGCTTCTGCAGAACTTGCAGACCTCCTGTGGAGCATGGAAACAACTAAAATGTGACCCGCAGGACTGGACACCACATTTCTACAATATCTCGGGGAATGCTATTAAATYTGATATTGATCTGAGATTGTCTGAATAAATCCATGAACCCTTAAAAACAGTGGATAGAGGTTTTATTGAGGATGAGTTAACAGCTGATCTATGACCAAAACTGATTGTTGCTTTCTGACTTCCTATTTTAAAATTTCATAGCAGTTTGTTTACACAAATAAAATGTGATGAACTTTTACATCATTCATTTTTCATTACACAGTTATGTACAACTAATTCTGTGGTTTTTGCAAGTACATAATGGCAGCTGCTAGCTGTAGCATTTTTAATGTGCTGTGCATTTTTACCACGATTAGTTCAAATTTATTTATTTTTCTCCAAATTGCAATAATTTACATAAAGAGCTACAACACTCAAGATATTTATTACTCATCTAATTCCACTAAACCCCTTTAAAATATCAAAATCATCCCTTTAATTTTTACACTCCTAAGTTGATCCAAGATAAATGTGATTTTGTTCAAAAATTTGAAACAAGAAAAAATTGTTTTTGTTTTGTCAGCTTCTATTATTGATTTTTTTCAGTGGCAGAGATAATTGTAATTTCAGAATAAAATTACAGAATGACAATAATTTATCAGATTGTTTTTCTTTTTTGCTTTGGATATGGCTCAGCAGACTTAACTGAGCGTTATCAGCTTGTTTTTGTCTGAAAATAAATTAAAAAAAATTGTGATCCTTTGCAGTGTAAAGCAGAAAACATGAAAAACATGTTCTGACTCCACTGTGAAGACACTGTGACTGCAGCATGATTTGAAGTGGAAATTGGAAGAAAATACAGATACGGAGGCTGGATTTTCTTCTTTTTTATCTAATCTGAGCTGGAGTGTGATATACCTTCTTCCTGGACTCTTAACAGATCATGAGATTGTTCTAAACCTCAAGGGGGGGCCTGAATAACAGTGACAAGGTTATCTTTTCTTAGAGTTCTTGTGGTTTCAGACATCCAAATATACCATCAAGCTCACAAGAGAAGAATTATTTTATCACATGTCCCCTTTAATAGACAAAGCAGTCAAAGAGCGAAACTATTCCAACATTTTTATATTTCATTTTGTAAAATTGTCTCTGTCAAAAAGCATTTTAAACATTGCTTTCTTATTTCCTATCACCCTATTGCAATTATGCGTGTGTCTGTGAATGCATATGTGTTCATTTGATAGCTGTGTTAGCAAAATATCTCATGAACCACTGAGCAGATAATGATAACACTGTCAGACAATATGCATTAAATGTACATCGACAACAGAACTGACGTTGGATTCAACTCCATAAAATTACGACGGCTCTGTAAAATTTACAGACGCTGAGATCAAGTTTGGTGTGGTAGTAGCTGAGACTTATTCTCAACACTCTGAGTGCTAGTAGTTTGCGTAATATTTGTTGTTTAAAACTTGGTKGTCAATGCCGTCTGTTAGCAAAATAGCTCATGAAKCTCATGAATTTGAATCAAAGTTTCATGAAATAATGGCTGGATGTCCCTCTACAACTGATTAACTTTTGGAGTTACCTCATTTCAAGACGGCCGCCAAAACTCATCATCCAAACCAAAAAGGGCTATGAGCTGAAATTTGCCTGAGTGACTTTGAACACTGAGGGTTAAACATTGTGCATCATCTTTGTACAGAACGTTAGCATTGATTGTTGGGGTGTAGTGTTTAATTTAAAACTGACCATAAAGTCATAATCATAGCTCCGTTTTCTTTATTTATTTATTGTTGCCACTGATCCGGTCAAACGCGTGCCTGCTTTCGTCAATTAGACGATGAGGTGGAAGAGTATATGATAGGGAAACAGCAGAAAATAGGATTACTTGTCTCATAGACAGAGAAGAGTGCACTGGCAGTGAGTCTTCCTCAGCTTGATCAGATTACATGTTCCAGTRTGGCTGGCAGCTTTCTGTGCATTAAAAACCCACAGTCTTGATAGGCCCCATCAGACATTCTGATTTACTTCTGTTTGACAAAGCAGAGTCCTCTGATATCATTGCAGGTGGTGTATCTTCAAGCTAACATTATGCTGACTGAGAGTTCTGGTGAAAACTACAAAGCTTCAATAGTCACCTCGAGTTTCTTATGGAACAAAACGACTAGTATTAATGAGATGACTCCCTTTCATTCTCAGGTTTTATTCAGCTCCCCCTCAGCTCTGTCACATATTTCAGGCTCTTACAAGCAGAGGCGCACACTTTGTCTTTGGCTCCCGGCTTACACCTCATCGCTGAGCGAGATCAAAGTCCCGCCTGGTCTTTGTGAATACAACATTAACCTGCTTTATTTATTTCTTTCTGAGCCTGTCTCCAACCTTTTTAATCAGAAATTATAAGGACAGTGTGTTAAAAGGATTTCCCTGCCAGTGGGAGTAACAGTCGGGCACCTCGGACTGCCTGGGAAGAGTCTGGTCTTTGAAGTCTGATATCATTGACATAACAGGGGAGAAAATGAAGTGCCGTATGAAAGGGTTGTAGAAATATTCTTCCGGGGTTTTTGTTGAACTTTGTTTTCTAAAGCAACAAGCCTGTGAGTCTTGAATAGTTGAAGCAGATTACGAGTGGTTGGGAATTCGACACACTTTTAAATTGAAATAAATTAAAGTATACACAAATTTAATTTAATTGGATGGCRGAGACGTGATGTAATCATCACTCACCTGCCTCTCTTAGACTGGCTCTCATGTCATATTAGTGTACCTGTCAGTGATGTGAATGCAACCGGGGCAAAAACACTTGAGAGTCTTTCAGCACAAACGAAACAACCCATTCCTACACAGATTCATGACAAAAGACAGGAGAGGTTTTCATGACAAGACTCACTTGTT